TCCGTCCGGAACAATATAGTAGTATAATTTTATTCCCGTGGATTAATTCCTCCGCTAGCCAGGCCACGTAAAATGCACTTCCAAGTACTCCGCGTCCTCCGCAAGATGGTCTAGCCAAGTGCGACGAAACTTTAATCCTGGTGATGTATGTAATCGTAAACCACTGGCGTATACAAACATATATATATAATAGAGAACATGGACGCACAGAGATTACACATGATTGAACCGACCTTCCCGAAACATTCACAGCAGAGTCCCTGAGAACAGGGACCAGTGTCTGATTGGTGGTCAACCCAACAATCCCGACTCTACTGAGCAAGTATACAGGTATATGTATGTATGCATGTATGTATGTATCTACGAATGCATACATATATAGACATATATACATATATACAAAAAAACATATACATACATATATACGTGTATATATATATATACACATACATATTACATGCATACATACATACATACATACATACATACATACATACATACATACATACATTACACAAATATGTGTATGTATATATATATATATATATATATATGTATGTGTGTGTGTGTGCATGTGTGGATATAAACAAATCTTGGCAATGCCGCTGCTGTTTTAGTAATTTCCTGTGCTTGTGGTCATTGCGGTGATGTGCATTAACGGCGGATGCTGTCATGATGTTGACGGTAACGACGGTGATTGCAGCGACAACCGTAGTAGTCACCATACTCTTTCTGCGAATCCTGCGAGTAGTCACGCTTACGTCTGGGCACCGAGGTGGGTACGGTTCCTGAGGCAGGGATAAACCCCTAAACCCAAGCCCCCAAGGACTCGGGTGCCCCGGATCTTTGGGGACTCCGCTTACTTAGAAGCTGCATTCTTTGGCCACCTCCCTGCAGCTCAGGCCTGGGGTGTGTGCTGAGCACGCACGAACTTTACGTAGTATCTGAAAGAGCTCAGGGCTGGAAATTTAGAAGTTGGGGTTGGCCTTGAACGGAGTCTAGCAACTGTTGGAATGCATCAGAGCAAGAACCTGGAAGTGATCAATAGCCGGCGCACATGCCAAATCCTACAAGACAAGACGCTGAGTGACTGAGTGCTCTGCTGGACATGGTATACGCGCCTCGTCGGATTGTCTGCAGGGGGTCTCGCGCGCTTAGCAACGGTTTCATCTCAGTTGTGCAACCCACATATCAGTTGGGCTCGAAGTTTTACAGCTCCAGGCATCATCTTGCCATTCTGGCATCCCTACACAGGACAGGCTGTGCATGGGAAGGCAGGCTATGACATGGGATTAATCATTTAGCCCACAAGCAACACAGTCCTGTTTTCCACACCTCCAACACCTGCAAGACTCACCTCAAAGCCTCGGCAGGAAATGGACCTTAGGATGGTTTTCGAACTTGCTCCGACGTATTATCCCAGAGGGCTACTATCTTCGTGCTACCAGGATGAGCTCCCAGTCGCTATTCTCAACTTGGTAACCACTACTGTCATGCATACATGTATGCTTACATTCATATGTGATGCATGCCTGATCTTGTTGAAATCTGCTGCAAAGGTGGGCCTCACGCAGACCCGCAGGCAACGACGCTTGTTGAGGTTGGCAACTGTGCTTATCTGGGAGATGCTGAGATGCTGCTATGCCGCTGCCATGTCTCAAGTCTGCTTGACTGCTTGACTGTTCGACGACGAAACCAGCAGGAAAGGACTCGAGACTTTGTACATGCGCTAAAGCGGCTGATTCCGTCCATGGTCATTGTCCGTGATCGATGCTCTTGGGTTGAGCCAAGCTTTCCATGCAAGTGCAGTACGTGCAAAGATGACAACAGGGGCAATGACGGGGTGTTGCTGTGAATTTAACAAACGCTGGCCCAACACCAAGACAATCATGAACATGCCTGCTATTGCCCAAGCACTTATATTCCAGCATGCTTGCTTGATGCAAGAAAAGCTGCCGCCTAGTCATTGGAATTCTGAACACTAGCGCGTTTCTGGTATTGGAACTGTACAGTACTCCTGCAGCTCGACTTGGTGCTTCTGTGTCAGTGACACATGAAATTTTGCATTATCCCTTCTGTAACACGACTCCTTTGCACGTGTTTATGATGCTGAGATGATGCAAGGACATTGGCTAAGAACTAAGTTCTTCTACTCTATAACCCTAAACCCTAAACCCCTAAATCCTACTCTTCATCCACCTGAACATGGAGCAGACATCATGCGCAGCGCTGTCCCTGGAGCCTGGAGCTGACCCAGCCCTCCGTTCAATTAGTCTAATGTAGGGGCCTTAATAATTAGAGTAGGGTTTTGGGGTATACTATAGCTATCATAAGGAAATAGTGTTGGTAATTATTTAGGCCCCTACATTAGACCCTTGACACAGACGACAACACTCAGCACGACAGCAGAAACGCAGAACCTCAAACGTTGTATGGGCTCGCGAATTCGCTTTCCCTCGGCAACCAGACGGAAATAGCCCTAAGCCCTCTGCAAATGAAACAGCAGGCTTACAAGCCCCTCACTGGCTTGGTAACCCTTAGGAATATTTAATATATTCCCTGCACCCTCGGGCGAAATGGGCGACAGAATGCGTTTCTGTACTTTGTTCTGCGCGGCCAAGTGAAGATCCCCCTTGGAGGGCTCTGAGGGCCTAGAAGTCCTGCCGAGCTGTTTTTGTTCCT